TGCCAAAAACTCCTCCGGAAATCAATTGGCAGAGTTTTGACACATTACTCTAATTGTTTATTAGAATTTCAGGAGAGTTTTGCATTTGGGGTTATGACAATTGGCAGAGTTTTTGCAGGTTACACATTAATTGTTTATTAGAGTTTCAGCAGTCATTAAGAGGTTTCAGCAAGCAACCTTAGTCTCAATATAATTTTTAATCTTTTGTAGGATATGAGAAAATTTATTTGCCATTATTACCACTAAGTATGCAAACTTACAGATGTCATAGCAGACATCATTTTGCCAACTAACATTGATATTGGTTGCCATAGGCAAATTGCAAACTTTATATGGTGAATTGTACCATGATTCTTGGGTGGCATCATAAGATTCTCCCTTTCACAAGGGTTGCATAATTGTTAATAGTCCCATTATTGGTGCTTTTGCTGTAGGTCTTCCACACTTGCAACTAATGATGGGAACCACAACTAGCCGCAATCCAATTTTCATATGCTGCAACCACAACCACAATTCAAATTTTATATGCCACAATTAATTGAGGAGCCATCTTTACTCAAAACTCTAGGTGAATCTTTTTCTTGTAAATTTTATACTCCATGTTTTCATACTTGGAATATCCCAGACCATTTTTCTCTAGGCTTTTCTAAGTGTACATTTTCATGGTGACTTTCTTGTAATAAAGCTTGTTCTCCTATTTTAAATTGTATAAGTTTGATTTCTTATCATATCTGTCCTTCTGATTCATAAATACTTTCAGCATATCCAACATTAAATGATTTCTTAATAGTTTTATTTCCTATTATAATGTTTCCTCTAAAATTCCTGGATCAGGAATTTTATTGAAATGCATAAAGAACACACATCAAGATGATCCTTATTGGACAACAATAGAACTTTTTTAGTATTTTTTTGGAATATTCTATTTAAATATCATACTGATAATTTAATTGGATTACTTCAAAGGTAATTTTAGTTAAATAAAATCATTTTAATGTTAATTATTAGTTATAACAATCAATAAGAAGATCCTTTCCTGCAAAGAAGTTATGGTTGAAGAAGATCTGGTTGTATCATTTTCACAAACAATAAAACAAGCTATGCCTGTGAAGATACAGAGTAAACAGCAGAAGTAGCATGGAAAATTTCCACTGGATACTCATCAATGATTCTTAAGTGTGGATTTCCTAACTACTACTAACTAACAATTTCTCTAAATTTATAATTTAATTCCAAAAAAATATTCTAAATTCAATTATTAAATAATAAAATCTATAAAATATTACATGTCATGTGCAAATGAAATTGTCATAGGATGTTTTAATTAAACTAAAATGGGCTTCTTTATATCTTTTTTTAGAAATGCATTCTTTCAAATATTACTATTTGTTTGATAAAACCCCAACCAATACACCCGGGGTATTTTCAAAAAAATAGTGGCCACAAGTAGTTTGTGGATAGGGCCTACAATCAATTAACCTTGATATTTCTATTGGATCAGGTGTATTATTAATACTAGTACTAGCTAGAACTACTACTGATTGCATCTGCTGTACATAGGTGGTATTGTTTACATGTGTAATAATAATCATATCAGCTGGTAGCACAGAATTTAAATTTAGCAAGATTAATGGATTGTACAACTTTTATCTCATCTACTGATGGTGGTGCAATCTATCAAATATCAAAAAATTTGCCAAAATCACAAATGGAAGCAACAACTTTCGATGATGTAACTATGGCAAGCCATATTAATATCATATCCTTTGATCCAGATACGTACGTGTATTATTATCAATTAAACGATCTACCTAATTATAATTTTTAAAAAATGGTGCATTATCATAAATTGAAATTAGATTTAGCTTATAAAACATCTTGATACAATTAAAACTAACATTAACATTAAAAGTTGAGGTTAAAAGGACAGAATTAATTATTCACATATAATGCTAGTTGCTTGCGAATGTATTCATATTAATAAGAAAAAATAAATATATTAATCATTTATTTAATGCATCTAATTATTTAAATTTAAGAAGCTTTTTTCATCATGAATAAAAAAATCAAATCGGGAGAAATATTGGCAAATAACCTTCTGAACCATGATTTTCATAAAAAAATATACAGATAAACTCGATAAGTCAGTCTTCTCAATCAATTGTTTGATAATATAAATATAATGTCCGACTTATTGAGTTTACCTGTATATGTAAATTGAAAATAAGAACTTTCTATTACTGTTACGGATTTACACAGACTGAATTATTATTATCGGTATAAATTTTAGCGAGTAGATCATGTGGGGCATACTGCAACAAAACCAGACAAAGTGAACATTGGTATTACCAAGAATTTCAGGGATCAAAATTTAGTAATG